AAAAAAAAAGTGCTTTTGGCTTCCCAAAAGCATTACCAAACGGAGCCAATAGTCATTAGAGATTAAAAGACAGAGTGTGATATTAGTAATTAACAAGAAACATAAATTCTAAAATTTAAGAAATTAGTCAAGAACAAAAGAATCCAAGTATAGTACCAATAATGAAATACAACTAAATTTAAATGCATACACGGCAGAGGTGAGAGGAATTTATTAAAAAGATCAGGCAATAAGTAATTAAATATATGAAAATAATATTGTCTTAAGAATATTAATGAAGTGAATGAGATAACAGTAGTTAATACAAAAAGCATAAGGTATCTCTGAAATATAACTAAAGAAGCAATAAAGCGTACAAGTGAAAATCTTATATGAAGATCTTAGAACCCATATCGTAAAGAATTAGTTCACAATGAAAGCAAATATCGGTAATAAAATAATAAAATCAACAAAGACAACACAGAGTTAAATAAAAGTTAGGAGTTATGAGGAGACATCTTTCTAAAATGCAAATAATTTATAGGAATAAGAATCTCCAAGTAGTTTATGCAATAATTGAATCGAAAGAAACACTATCAAAAATGATGTTGATGATGAAGTATCGATTCACACAAATGTAATCCTTAATAGGTATAACCATCAATATAAGTCTTACAAAAAATCAAAATTTAGTAAGATCAAAATTTGAGCTGATATAACTATTATGGAAGATGATGAGAACGCATGAAAAAGAATTAGTCTATGAAGCATAATAATAATCAAGTTGAAAGTAAAATTTAGATGCTTAAAAATGACCAATAGGTAGCAGATATAAGTGAAAAGATAACAAGATCGACAAAATCATCAAAGGTGAAATTAAGTCAGCAATTAAGAGCAGACATTTAACTAAAGTATAAATATTTTACAGGGATTATCTCTTACTACCTAATGTGAAAAATTGAATTGAAATTATGCTTACAGTGAAAATCATGGAAAAGGAACACCATAATAGTCAACAATGGAGAGATTTACACAATCACGCATATTAAAATCACAAAACAGGAAAAACGAATGAAGCAATGAATGAAAGAGAAATTTATAATCACATGACTATGTTATTGTATCGGAGCAACTATGGCATGAGAATTGTGATCTATCAGATGTTATATCAAACAAGTTACGAGCAACTAAGAAATGCTTGCCAACATTTGATCATAAGATTGATGTTTTTTAATGGATCCGACACCCTTTTTTTTAAAGAATGGACATAACACTCTAGCAACAACAATATCCTGTGTTTATATCTCACAGCAACCAAACACTATAAAAGTAACCCATTACACAAAAGAGATTTGTATGTATGTAAGGGCAGATATATGTTTCAAATAATTAAAATGCAGAAGAAGAAACAAATCGCCGAATTTATTGATTAACAGAGAACATTCAATGACAGCAGAAAATTCATAAAAAGCAACCTATAACGAGTTATAACAAGAGAAGTCAAGGAGTAACTAATGAACCTAGTTTATCTAAGTGTCGTGGAAGGAGTTTGAATATGGCATAAGCTAACCTAATACTTCTTTTATATTCTGCAGAAATTAACAAGTTTTTCAAACATAATAGAGCAAGTTAGAATTAGAAGTTACCTTGAAAATGCGCAGATCGATTAAGATCAAAGAGTGATTTAAAAAATCTAGTATTTTAATTAGTCCTCTTATTTTTTCCTTTTCACTCCTCTCTCTCTCTCTTCATGGCTTAGTGAATAACAGTCTTTTTTTTAGTAATAAAAACATTATTGATAAAAATCAATATCGCGGGCAGAGGGCAAGGTATCCTCAAACCAAAAAGAAACAAAAATGGGCAGGTGTTAAAAACTAACCAAAATATAAAAAGAGAAGGATAAACACATAAACAATCTCTCAAATCAATTCCTAATTTCATCTTTCCAATTCAAAAATATATCTTTCTTTTCACAATTCATTCTTTATTTTCCCTAATTCATTTAACTATTTACCTTCTCTCTCTCTCTCTCTTCCTGGCCTAGTGAAAAACGGTTTTTTTCTTTTCACTCCATTCTTTGTAATTCCCTATTTCATTTACCTATTCTTTTTCTCTCTCACTCCTTTTTACCATTCCTTTTCTTCTCTCTCTATCTCCATGGCTTAGTGAATAACGGTTTTTTAATTTTCACTCTTCATTCTTCGTTAGCCCTATTTCATTTGCCTTTTTTCCTCCTTCACTCCCTATGACCTTTCCCTCCCTCTCTCTCTCTCTCTCACTCTCATGGCTTGGTGAATAATGGGAGGAAAGTTTCCCTGCAATCAAGATAAAGACAGACAATAAATCAGGACGAATACAGCTTTAAAAAATTAAAAAAAGAAAACAAAACCAAAAGAACAAATCTCTCTCCCTCTTCATGGTTCAAGAATTCCTCATTCTAGTGAAGTTCCGAATGGGATATGGAGCTAATCGCCAGATCCTCTTCTTAAGTACACCCCTGACTTGTAACAACAAAAATGCATCAGTAAGTATAACCTTAAGAAAGATAGGGGCCTCAAAGAAAAATTAATTGCATAAGTTTTTACATAAACTATTACTCAATTGTCCCCAATGTGAATTGTGTAAAAAGTTTTTTTTATGATGACAACCAATCTTGAAATCTCACTATTCGGTTAGATAATTCAACAAAAATTCCCCACAACAACAGCAAGCCTTAATCCGAACTTAATTGGGGTCGGCTATATGGATTTCACTTTTCTACGCAGCTTTGTTCAAAATTAAACTTTCCTGAAGGCCTAGATCTAGAATGTCTTTCCTAACTACTTCGGTCCACATAATTCTTAGTCTACCCCTCCCTCTCCTAGTATTAGGTATAAGAATGTCTTCCCAAACACGAACTGGTGCTTCTAGCGATCTACGTTGGACATGCCTGTACCACCTCAAGCGGCCTTCGCGCACCTTATCTTCTATTGGTGCTACACCTACTTTACTACGAATAACTTTATTCCTTATGCGATCCATTCTTGTATGGTCACTCATCCATCTGTTAAATAATATCCAACAAAAACTCATTAAAAATAGTCATTTTCACTACTAACGGAAAAGATTAAGATAGAACAATTACTAGTTTAAAAGTAACTAATCAAACCATCTTCTAAAACCCAATCGTTCTCATATAATATACCAAATAAACTCAATTTGCTTTAGACATAGAAGACAACAAATCATTGCTAGGAAAATAACAACCAGTTACAACCAGCTGCGGAAATTTCCTACAATGAAAGATGAAAATGAATATGCCAAACTCAAGTTTTAAATAGGACAAACAAATACACATCAAGACAACGAAATAAAATAAAACCAAGAGAAAGAAAGAAATAAATAGAACTACGAAACTCACATCGACACTGGTATAACAGTTGAATTGAATTGGTTGATAGAATGTTTAACCACTTTCCCTCTCTCTCGGTTGAAGGTAAGAATAATAAGTAAAAAAAAAGGCGGAAAAAAAAGCTGAGATCAAAGATATCAAACAAATCTATTTCACTAATATTTGACATGAAACAAACTAATTAAATTAGTGACACACATACCTCTAAGATAAATCAAATAAATCTATTTCAACAATATTTGACGCGAAAAAACTAATTAAATTAGTGACACAAATACCTCTAAGACGAATCTACACACTACCATCTTTAGGTCTAGTAAGCAATAATTAGTTATCTGAAAAGAATTCATAAATTAATATTGAGAAGAACTTACACTACCTATGCACCAGATAAAGACATAAAGGACTCTTCATATGGATATGGGATTCTTCCTGGTTTCTTTCTATGATGGAACCATGGAAAACTAGATAAGCTTATATAAAAGGTTGATTTCACTAGCTTAAGAAGATGTAAGGAAGAACTCTCAAATAAATATAAGAGAAGTAAAAATAATGGCATAGATCGATCAACAATAAAAGGGAAGAAGTTACAGAGTGCTAAGTGTATAAGTAAATGTATAACCATTAGACAAAGGCACATAGAACTTTATAGCTGAAATTTTCACACACATGTTCTATTCTCCACATCATTGATTCAACAGCGAAAATTTCACAAGACATGCAAATATGAACAAAAAAATTTTCTAAAATAATAAATCATAAATATAAGAAGAGAACAGGAAAAACCAAAAAAAATCTGCAAGAAAACCAAACCTAGGGCTGATCAGTGACCCCTAAGCGACATCGGCACCAGGCAGACCAAGAACCCAACTTGATTTCTGTTGGCCCTCACTCTTTATAATGAAAAAAATCCCAAAAATTAAAAAAAAAATACGAGTTATGTAGAAAAAATTATAAATTAGAAAAATTACTTGATTTCTAAATAAATAAATAAAGAAATAGGAATGTGAAAAAGAAGATTTGCCAATGTGCCTAACTAAGCGCAAATTCTTACCTCAACAACACTTTCTCATAGCCCAAACCATTCCATCCAAAAGCCATAAACATTTTTCCCTACTTCATTTACCTTTTTTTTCGTCTCTCTTTTTTTACCTTTCCTTTCCCTCTTTCTCTCTCTTCATGGCTTAGGAAATGACAGTTTTTTTTTTCATTCTTCATTCTTTGTTTTCCCCATATCATTTGCCATTTTTACTCGCTCACTCCGTTTTTACATTTTTCCCTACTTCATTTACCTTTTTTCGTCTCACTCTTTTTTACCTTTCCTTTCTCTCTTTCTCTCTCTTCATGACTTAGGAAATGTCAGTTTTTGGTTTTCACTCATCATTCTTTGTTTTCCCTGTATCATTTGCCCTTTTTACTCTCTCACTCCTTTTTATATTTCCTTTTCTCTCCACCCACCTTGGTGAATAACGGAAGTTTACCTACAACCAAAATGACGATGAGGACACTAAATTGGAACAAACACAACATTAAAAAATAAAAAATAAAAAACCAAAAGAACAAATCTCTCTCCCTCTTCATGGCTCAAGAATTCCTCGTTCTAGTAAAGTTCTACGTAAAATATGGAGTTGATCACCGGACCCTCTTATTAAGTACACTCCCTGACTTGTAACAACAAAAATGCACGAGTAATTATCACCTTAAGAAAGATAGGGCCTCAACAAAAATTGCAAACGTTTTACAAAAACTACTACTCACTTGTCCCCGTTGTGAATTGTCCAAATATTTTTCCCAAAATCACGAATTCAATAACAAGGTAAATACAATCAGAAACTAAATTGATACCCAGAATAAACAAGATGGCCAGAAAAAGTAAACATAAGAAGAGAAAACACAAAAGCAAACCTTTAGAGCTGAGTAAGAACGATTCAGAACCCGCAGAAAAGACAAATAACTTGGATCATAAATGTGAAAGAAGAGAAAAACGAACAGCGGAGAGCACACTAAAAGAGGCAAAGAAGGAAAGAAATGAAGATATAAAATTCCATATCACTGATTCAATAGCGAAAATTTCACAAGTCATGCAAATATGAACAAATAAAATTCCTAAAATAAAAAATCATAAATATAAGAAGAGAATAGGAAAAACCAAACAAATCTGCAAGAAAACCAAACCCTAGAGCTGATCAGGGACCCCTAAGCGACATCGGCACCAATGTGCCTAAGCGCAAATTAAAAAAAAAATACAAGTTATATAGAGAAAATTATACATTAAAAAAACTACTTGATTTCTGAATAAATAAATAAATAGGAATGTGAAAAAGAAAATTTACCGATGTGCCTAAGCGCAAATTCTTCCTCGACAACGCTTTCTCATAGCCCGATCCATTCCATCCAAACGCCATAAACATTTCTCTAATAAATTAATTAATTTATTTGCTGATTAATATATTCCTTTTTCATCATAAGTAAATGAGCAAAGATTTTCTCAAGAACCAAACAAAAGAAAGATATGAAAAGAAACCCTTGCGAAGGGTGTTCGATGGATTGGTGAGAACGGCGGGCGACGAAGAGAGTGCAGCAAGACTGTAAGAGCCGCCGAGGAGGTTGGGATCACCGAGAGGGTCATCTGCAAAAGAGAGAGAATTTCACATTTTTGGTAAGGAACGAAACGACAATGTTTAGAGAGAAACGAGAGAGAGAGAGAGAGAGAGAGAGACGAAAGATTGAGAGGAACGGAGGAACAAAGATAGGCGTGATAGACGGCGCTGTCGTGAGGGATGAAATCGGTGCCGTCGATGCTTGTTGCTTTGATCGGATGGTACGTCTCTGCGTAGAACACTGCATTTACGTTGTCCCTGCTCACCCTGAACCCTAATTTCTTAAATCTCACCGCCGGCGAGGCTTGTTTGCAGGTAAGAAGCAACAGCCACAATGTTTCCGACGCCCTGCGGTGGTGACTCGCTCGTGCTTTCCCTCTCACCGCCGACGACATCTGCAGACAGCGACCTTCTTTCTCCGCCGTGAGGTCCTCGTGGAACGAGAGAAAAAGCAAACGAGAAGAGAGAATGAGAGGAAGGGGGAGAAGGGGAAGAGAACGTGAGAGGAACAGAGAGAATGCAAGGGAACGGGAAGAGAGAGAGAGCGAAAGGAACAGAGAGGGAGAGAGAGCCCGACGGGGGGGAAGAGAGAGAAACAAATTCTAGCGTTTCAAAATTAATAAAAAAATGGACACTTCAGTAACGGAAGATTTTTTTTTTTTTCGCTCGGAGATTAACGGTAGAATATATCAAGGGATGTTTGTTTGAGACCGTTTACTTCGGTCCCGTTCACTTCACCGATTCGAATTTAGAATTTGAGTTTTGTTACAGTAAAAAGCTCTCAGAAACAGTCACATCTAATTTTTTTATTACAGTAAAAAAGTCTCACACAAAATCATATCTCAACTCAAATTTTAAATTCGAATCAGCGAAATAAACGGAGTTGATTGTTGGTTTTGAATTATGATTTTTAATTTTTTATAGTATTTTTTTATTAATATATATTATAAAATTATGGTTTTAAATTTAAAAAATAAGAATCAATTAAATTAAATATTTTATTAATATATATTATAAATTATGTGAAACCGTTTTGAGAAAGAAAATAAATTTAAAAGTTAAATTAATAATAATGATAACGGCGAAATACAACTGCTTTACCATCAAAAAAATACAATTATGAATCAAAAAAATAAAATACAACTGCACTTTCTCTTTGACACAGCTTTCGTAACAGTATTGCTACAGTGCCACTATATTTTTTTTATTTTTGCTCTCTATGGTTTTCTCTCCTTTCATTCTAGTCTATTTTTCCTTCTTTTTTGTTTACTACTTACCCTAAAACTTATTTTTTTAATTATAGTTTCTTTTTGAGCTTTTATACATTCTTAATAATAACACGATAATTAAAACTTAATACACGATTACTCTCACGTGCTCTTTAAGTAGTAATAAAAGAAATAAGAATCAATAAATATTGTTCAAATGAACAATTTTTCGACCAAAACACACTATTTTGGCCGAAAACACCATTCATTAACAGTGTTTTTACTGTTGATTTTTTTTCTTTTTTCTTTTTGATTTTTTTTATTTTCATCTTCTCTTTTTCCTTTCACTTTTTCCTCGTAATATTTTTTTTTTGTTGTTGGCCTTTTTTAACTTTTTTTTCATTTATACAAATTATTATTTTTATATGTTATCCTACTCGGGGAGTATTAAAATTTCCCAAGTATACATTGATCTTATCTTGTAAATCCTAAATCTAGCTGTTGTTATTCATTGAAGAGTTAGTGCGAGTTGAAAAGGACCACAAGTTTTAAGTCCATTTATGTAGTCACTTTCACATTTGATATTCTTCTACATTTTTAAACATTCAGGTTATTTAATACATCACTTACATGCTAATTATAAAAAAGTAATAGACTAAGTTGATGAATAATATTAAAATGTTATTTGGTCATGTTAAGATGTTTTTTTCAAAGATTATTTGTAATGAGTAGAGTGCATTTGTATTTGGTCGCTTCATATTAGACAATCTTATTGTTGCTTATGAGCCTCAACATAAAATCCGACATAAGACAGGAGGTACGAAGGTCTCAAGATATTAAAGTTGGATATGAGCAAGACTTATGACGGAGTGGAATGCCTTTTTTTTAAAGCGGCTATGCTCAAGTTGGGTTTGCCCCTAAGCCATCAACTTTTCTCCCTTCCCTATGTTCTCGTTGTCACCCTACACCAAGTACACCATCACTCGTACTCTAACACTTGCAACGTACACCCTATCGCTCATTATAATCCGCGATCTAAAATCAGAATTTTCGATCAAAGCACCACCTTGTATAGACAAATTAGGAAAAGTTAACTTTTCTATGAAATTATATTCAATAATAGTTTGAATTGAATTATATTTTTTTCAATTTTGTCGAAGACGTAGGGTTTTTGAAAGTTAGGAAATTATCTCTTAAGGAGATTATCATTCTAAAAGTTAAGAGTTATCTCTTTCTATATTATGTTTTTAAATTTAGAAATCCGGATAGAATGTTTGATTAGGTCCGGATAAGGATGACTTGGAATCCAATTAGGATTTCTTGATTAGGTTAGATTTTCTAAGTTTGTTTTATGCCTATAAATAGCTTGTAAATTCCGCATATTAATAATAAGAAAATAAGTTCTTTTTCTTCTAAAAAATTACATGGTATCAGAGCTAGCTCTTAAGTCTTAATGGCAAAGACTGCCATGACCAAAGCAAGTAGGACCTCTGCTTCTTCAAGGGATTCTGCAGAGAATGAGCAGTCCGAAACCACTGCCATAACCAGCAGCACAGACCCATTAGCAGCATTTGCAGATCATTCTCTTCATATCACTGTTCACAAATTAAATGGCAAGAATTACCTGGAGTGGGCTCAGTCCATGAAGCTCGCAATTGATGGAAGACGAAAACTTGGCCATTTAACCGGAGAGGTAAAAAAACCAGCAGTGGGTGATCCGAATCTGAAGGTATCGTGATCTTAGAACTCTTTGATAATGGCGTGGCTCATCAACTCAATGGAGCCGACTATTGGGAAACCCCACCTATTCTTACCAACCGCCAAAGATATGTGGGAAGCTGTACGTGAGATGTACTCAGACCTGAAAAACTCATCACAAATCTTCGAACTAAAGACGAAGCTGTGGCATTCTAGGCAGGGAGATCGAGATGTCATAACATACTACAACGAGATGGTGACTTTATGGCAAGAATTGGATTTGTGTTATGAAGATGAATGAGATTGCCCTACTGATAGTGTTCGGCATAAGAAAAGAAAGGAGAATGATCGAGTTTACATGTTTCTAGCAGGACTCAATCAAGAATTAGATGAAATAAGAGTACGGGTCTTAGGAAAAAAAACCCTTACCATCTATCAGAGAAGTGTTTTTAGAAGTTAGGAGAGAAGAGGCTTGGCGAAGAGTAATGCTAAAAGCCCAAGAACCGAAACTCAATCCTGAAGCAGAAAGTTCGGCTCTAGTCTCTAGAGGATTTGATCCGGAGAAAGAAAAGAAAAAGAAACCATGGTGTGATCACTGTAAAAAACATGGCATACAAAGGAAACATGCTGAAAACTTCATGGCGAACCGAACAATAGAGGTGATGGCAAAGCATTCCAAACAGTGAGTGAGGATTCTCAAAGGTAGCAAATCAACTCAAAAATAACTTAGTTTACAAAGGAACAACTAGACCATCTGTACAAACTCTTTCAATCTCCACAATTTTTAAATTCTTCTTGTTCTTTAGCTCAAAAGGGTAATTATCTCATTACAATTCTCTCTAGTATAAAATCTAATATGTTTTGTCCATGGATTATTGACTCCAGAGCCACAGATCACATGACTGGCTCTTTAAAACTGTTTTCATCCTACAAACCGTGTGCATGGAATAAAAAGATCAAAATTGCAAATGGATCCTTTTCAGCCATAGCTGGAATAGGATCAATCAACGTTTCTCCATCTCTCACACTTCATAATGTCCTTCATGTTCCAAATTTGTCTTGTAACTTATTGTCCATAAGTAAAATAACTCATGATCATAAGTGTCAAGCTAACTTCTATCCATCTTATTATGAGTTTCAAGAACTAACCTCGGGGAGGACGATTGGCAGTGCTAGAGAGATTGGTGAACTTTATTTCTTTGAAAATGGATCCCAATCAAGAAGACCGACACAAAGTACTTGTCTTGAATCTATTTATGTTACTAGTATGGATCAAATAATGATGTGGCATTATAGGTTAGGCCACCCTAGTTTTCAATATTTAAAACATTTGCTTCCAAACTTATTTAGAAATAAAAATCCATCTTCATTTCAGTGTGAATTTTGTGACTTAGCTAAACATCATCGTACCACATTTCCATTACAACCATACAAGGCTTCAAAATCTTTTTCATTAATACATAGTGATATATGGGGGCCTTCACGGATCACAACACCACCGGAAAAGAGATGGTTTGTCACTTACATAGATGATCACACAAGGGTAATTTGGGTTTACTTACTAAAAGAATAGTCATATGTGGATGAGGTGTTCAAAAATTTTTACATAATGGTGATGACACAATTTCAAACACAAATTCAAGTTTTCCGAAGTGATAATGGAAAAGAGTATTTTAACAAGATTTTGGGAAAATTCTTCCTAGAAAAAGGCATAGCTCACCAAAGCTCGTGTAATGACACCCCTCAACAAAATAGAATAGCTGAACGAAAGAATAAACACCTCCTAGAAGTAGCTAGAGCACTACATTTCACAAATAAGGTCCCGAAGTATCTTTGGGGGGAAGCTATCCTCACAGCTACCTACCTTATCAATAGGATGCCAACTAGGGTGTTGAAACTCAAAACACCATTACAGGTATTTTCAAGTTGATATCCAACATCTAGGTTATCACCTACACTTCCTATAAAAATATTTGGATGCACAGCCTTTGTACATATTCATGTGTTGGTCACCGAATCGAATTTGGATGCGAAAGCGTGGGGGAATGGCGGATCGTGTATAACAAAAATTTTCATAAAACCTTTGAGATACTCTATAGATTATATTAATTTATGCACGAATAAATTAATCACATTAATTTATTTATTAAGAACTCAATTAGGAATAATACCTAGCGGCCGATTAGGATGATAACTTGAGTTCTTTGACCACGAACAATCCTTGCTCCAAAGCTTTGTGTTTAGAAAACTAATGTCTTCCACGTCAATTTCTAGAATCCACGAAAACGTGTGTGGGCACACCTTAGACAAAACGGGTTAGAATAAACACTCGAATACCCACAAACACCAACGCATGCACGATGTAAAATTATTTGGAGAAAAAATTTTCTCTCTCACTCTATGAGAATTTCGGCCATCCCCTAAAATTAGGGCAAAAAATTGTTTCAAAAATTGTCTTTCACAATTTTCTATCATTCTCTTATTTATAGAGTATAAGTCAATCTTCTAGAAGGAATCCAATCTCTATCTCCAAGATAAAGCTTGT